ATTAATGCTGCTAGGAGTTTTTAAAATTGTACTGGAAAAAAAAACGTGCATTTTGAAGGTTGATGATATGGAAAGCCATAAAAATATTTTTTATGTGATATCTGCATACCGTAATTCTAATTTTAGTAATTTATATGCAAAATATGCACTAGAAAAAGTAACAGCAGGTTGCGAATTTTTGATTTTTACTGCATTTTCTCCTTTTTTTTTATACTAACTAAAGAGGATAAGTTTAACTATATATCAAATAACGAAAAAAAAAAAAAATAACAAATTTCACTGTGAATCAGTAAAATTTCTAGGCTAATGGTTTTTATTATTTTTTGTTGTTTGAAGAGCCAGCAGTACACTATCGTTTTACTTAATAATAAACTTTGTATGACATCCTATCTTTGCATAGATATGCATGAATAATAAATCAGTTGAATAAAATTTCACGACAAAATAAAAGAATCAAATTCTACATTACCAGATACATACTGAACATTGAACTTTCTAATGAAAACAATCCAAGTATCTGTCTGTGTAATTAAAACGCCCTTTGAAAATCAATTACTTAACTGAATCAATAATTAAGAAAAAGTATCAATAATGTAATGTATTGTCCTGTTTAAAAAGTCTGTAAAATAACGAATAAATTTTGTGCAACTAAATAATTCGAAATGTGTAGAAATATTGAGTAAAAAGTGTTACAGTTCTAAAAAATATTAGTACTATGTATTAATATTTCAGGGGCGTTTATCCGGTAATTCGTATTTATTATAAAAAGAGGGGAATGCGGGAGGCTTGGGTTCAATTTCTGGCCGATGCGATACTTTTTTTTACCATTCATTATATTTTTCTTAGTGGGTTAATTATTTTGTAACTCTGTTTTTTTTTTCAGCATTAGCATTAATTGGGGGTTGTGCTGGTTTTCCGGCAGGATGGGCTGAAGAAGACGTTAGAAAAATATGTCTGACCTCTGACATGTACAACTTGGGAACATGCAGTTTCAGGTGGGCTTACCTTTTGGCAGCAATAGGGTGTTTAGATGCAATTATTTTAGCCACATTGGCTTTTATCCTAGCTACAAGGCATGTTCGACTTCAACCTGATCCTCAATATGCACCGGCAAGTCTTTACAAAGGTCAGTTTATTTTTTTGGAATTACTTTTTTTTCATTACCTATCTTAAGACATTTCGAATGGGTTTTGTACATAGGAACTTGCAACGATCAATGATTAATTATGATGACCTTTTGGTTCTCATGGGAATATTATTTCTAATAAATCAGCATTTATAAAACCTCATCGTTCTTTGCAATATTTGTTTTTTGTTTAAACAGATATTTTATTAAATTTATGTATACTATTTTCAGGTGAAATGAATAACGGATTTATTGGGGATGCTGCAAGCATTGCAGGATCAAGAAAGTCCTTAAATTTACACCCCGTATTACTCATGCATCCTGGACAAGACGACACGTATTCCCAGTTCTCACAAAGAACTGTCCCACGATCTATTCATTCTGGTCATTATTCCCACCCAATGCATAATGGCTTTCAATTATAACGTGCCACATAATTTGTAATAACTTTGGTAATTTTATTACTAAATAATTGTATATTTTAACAATAAATTTTTATTAAATTAAACTTCATTCTTTTTCGTCAAAATAAAAAATCAATAGCTGTAAATGATGATTTGATTCGTTCATAACAACTGCAGTTTAAAATGCTAAAAAAATTTGGAAACACTTCTTCATTAATGGTAAGACCCATGGACAGTAGGACTTCTTAAAAAATAGCGACTGATTGTGAAGAACGTAATTAGTACAATCTTTTATTTGAACTATTGTAACTATAGCATTAAAATACTACAACCAGTATATAAATGTTAACATTCTTGAGCTAATGGGACACCCTGTATACTTATAAATAAACCTTTAGCAATTTATAAATTGGAAACAAGATTGCAAGAAAATGGAAAATAAAAAACAATATCATTTAAATGACTCACCAATTGGCCTCCACGTTTGTAAAATCCTTAGTACTTTCCATAAGACTCCTCTCGCCCCCTGTAACAAGAAAAAAACATTTTTTATAGGTATGACAAAATTTGCAATACGCCAATAAATAAATGTATTATTTAAAGATACAATTCATTGCCCTAATATTACTACAAAGCAATCATTTACAAAATATTAAAAATTGGTAGTACTCTGTATATATATTGATAAACAGAGTGTTCATGAAAAAAAATAGTACACATACTTATGTGGGCAACGAAGTAAGCAGCTATAAACTTACTTAATATTAGTAATTAGTAAAGTATCTTTCATTTCAAACACTTCACTTAAAGTAATTAACACTTANTTTTCGTGTAATGACCGTTTAGGTTTTGTTTATTTATTTATTGGTTTTTATTAATAATGCCGTTAAGAGGTAATCCAGTATGTTTAAAATGTGAAACAAATGAATCCCCTTTGTGGACAAATGCAGAAAATTTGGGTGCTATTTGTTTGGATTGTGTTAATGAAGCCCGAGACAGCTTAAAAAATGAACAGGAAGAAGAATATGACGATAAACAAGACGGAGAACAAAAATCCAGCAAAAAGAAAACCAGGCTAACGCGTTCTTATAAAACCAGACTAAATCCTTTTGCAATACCAAAGCTAGGTACATCTAAAGGGAAAGGTAGAAGGTCTATGTTTAAGAAGGCTCCTATTAAAGCTCCAGATTCAGTTGCAACTCCCATTACAGGTCAAAGCGTTTTTTATAAGGTAAACAACGCGTATGTTAAAGAAAAGCCTCTTGTATTGACATGGGGAATTGTATTTTGAGGGTTCGTATTTCCAAGTGGGTGATATTGTATCAATGATTGATGAAGAATTTAATTTATACTATGCACAACTGAGAGGGTTCCTAGTTGATCAGTATTGTGAAAAAAGTGCTGTTGTCACTTGGCTTTTACCAACTAAAGAAAGTCCTCCTCCAGAAGAAGGTTTTGACCCAGCAACATATGTAATTGGTAAGAAAATTAACATTTAAAATAAATTTCTGACCATGAATTTAAATGATATTTGAAAAATGTAATATAATTTGATAGGTCCAGATGAAGAGTTGCCAAGGAAACTAGAATGTATGGAATTTATCATGCATGCACCATCTGATTATTACAAAGCAAAAAATACTCCCTACCCACCCATTGAAGCCCCTGCTGAACCTGGATACATTTGGACAAGTCTTCATTCTATCCATAAGTAGATTTTAAAATTTCTATATTTTAACTTTATACAAAATCATGTTTTATTCCGATACTAAAGTAATAAAAATAATATAATATGTAATTGTTCGCTTAAGAATGTTTATTTTATTTATACAACATTCTCAGCTACCCATTAATATGTAAAAGTTCTGATAAAATATCGTTTCTGTAACATTCTAGCAGCTTTTCCATACCTGACTAAACTATATTTAATATTAATAATAGGCTTATAATAAACTGAAAAAAATTTCTGAAAAACATGATGAACGCACATTATCTTTCAAAAAATTATTATAATTGTACCACTTAAAAATTCAAATCGTAATTAAAAACACTATTGTAACTGTATATTAAAAATACAATAAAACATGCAGGCGCCACATTATTTCCATCTTTTAAACAATTAAGAGATACTTTTAAAGCCTTTAATCTAATGTCAGTCACTGATGTCTTATTTGGAAATTATCAGACGAACAACTAAGCAACTGTATTGTTCAACTTTAAACAATGTTTAGGTAGATTTTTTAAACGACAGAGAAGAATTTAACATCATTTTTGAAAGGCACAGTTAAATGAGCATGGATGATTTGCCCCTACAGGCACAAGTCTCAACTCCTTTTGACTATGTTACTATCATTGGAACTGATCTATCTTGAAATTTGTAAATACTGTACAGAAATTTCGTGTCTACTATTATTGGAAATAAATCGTTTCCATTAATAGGAACTTGTACAAAAAATATGAGACTTCCGGGGTAGTTCGCTCAAGCTCATCCGGCTATTGTCTTTCTAGAAACGTATAACAAAGCAATTGGAAATATGAAAGTCAGCAGGGACAAACGAATCAATAACGACATATATATATATATCAATGCTATGTTCATAACATCCTCAATAATGACTTAATCGGTCATTTATTATTGACGATGCAATCGATAAAAAAATAATTTCTTTCATTTCTAAAGTTTACTTCGTCAGTAGTATCGCATTATTTCCTTTTTTGCCCGTCACCCCCTTGGATAAGTAAAGGACTTGTTGGACGTTGGGGGGTAACAACCCCCCGGTACGTCTCAGTCCGTTTTGGCCAGTTGAAGCACGTGAAGAATGACCTCGTCGACCGTCTGGTTGTTTAACAGCGACTTAACAGCTTCGTCGTCTATCACTACGGTAAATAGGAGCTTTGCGTTCTCACGTAAACGACCAATGTAATCGAAATCCTCATCAGAAGCTGGTTTGTGCCCGCAACGTTTGATTACTGAGTCCAGTATTTTATCGACAGGGGCATCGGGCCATCCAAAAGCTTGCAATGTTTCCTCGTCAACCAGAAGCGTGAGGAGTTCTTTGATAGAATCAGTCAACGTGAGTTCGTTCCAGATCCGATTGTCGCACAACGATGAACCGCTCTCTCTGTTCGCCGCGGCCGCGGAAGCCGCTTTCAGTAACTGCTGCTGAAGACGTTTCTTTTCCGCTCCAGCCATTATGTCTTCCAAGAGGTCCCGATGTTTGGCACGCATATGTCGTAATAGGCAGTCCTGGCGAATGAAAGCTCGGCCGCATTCGTCGCATTTGCATGGCTGCTCTTTGCGGTGAGTCAACAGGTGAAGTTTGAGCGAAGACTTGATGGCGAAACGTTTTAAGCATACCTCGCATTCGAAAGCTATAACAAAATAGAGTTTTTGATATGAAAAAATTGGTAACACAAGTCCAATGAAACTTACGCTTTACTCCAGAATGGAGCAGTTCATGTCTGGACAAATCTTCCTTGCGATAGAATGATTTCTCGCATTGGTTACATTGTAACGGTTCGGCACCCTCATGGACGAACTTGACGTGCATCGTGAGGCGCGCTCGCCTATTGAAGGCCCGGTTGCAATGGGGGCAAGTGTATGCGTTTTCACCGGTATGGTGAAAGATGTGAGCACGTAACTGCGCTGCTTGGATAAAAGCCTTGCCGCAAAACTGGCACTTGTGCGGCTTGTGACCCGTGTGGGTACGCACGTGACGATTAAGAGTCTCTTTAGCCGCAAATTTGTTTCCACACTAAAAACAAGATAAAATACACATGTAGTTAGTGTCAA